ACACAGCGCTTCCTGACATGGGAAACAGTCATGATGCAATAGTGTGCAAAACCAGACCTAAGAATGACTGACGTAACAAGTTAACAGAAGGGACATTTATTCACTGTAGCAAAAGTCATCTGTAATGAAATACACACATTTTAGATGTAAGCACAGGAGGGAAAAATGAAAGCAGGATTTCTAAATGCATAATGTTTTATTATTCTTAGAATAATAAAAGCAATTAAAGAGTGTCTATTCTAAAGAGTAGACAATTACTAGTCTACTCTCAACATTCTATTCTACAAAACATATCTTTGTAATATAAAAGATAAAACATAAATGTGATAAAAAAAAAAATAATAAAAAAGAGATAATTGTAAAATATAAAATAATGAGGTACACATGTCCAGCTGGGATAATCACATCAGGGCCTTCTTGATGTGATGTTCGTCTGTTTCTCTGGCCGCTGTATCTGTGGGGATGGCGTTCGCTGATCCATTTGTGATGGTTTATGGTACACATCAACTTTTAAATGTCCCCCATTATTGATGAAAATCTCACAGTCTAAGAAGCCTAACCTGCCACTTTTCATTTCCTCCCTGGTGAATTTGATGTGTTGGTGCACCGAGTTGATGGAATCAGGGAATTGTGGTACGTCCTGAGACTTGATTTTCACCCAGGTGTCAATGACTTCCAGGGTACAATAACAAAGCCCTCTTTTCCACTTCTTCCATGTACGAATTGAGCACAATGGGTGAAACTAGGGAACCCATGGACATCCATGTTTCTCCCTGTACTGACCGTTGTATGTAAAACATGTGGAATTAAGACACTGTTCAAAGAACAAACACACTTGTTTGGTGCTGAGGCTGGGGTCATCCTCACGAACTACCTCCACTGCTTCAGTAATAAGTTTTATTAGGTTTCTGTTCTTAGAGTGATATTTTAATATGAGTCTAGCTGTATAGGCTTCCCCAGAAATGTGATTTACATCTTTAAACCTTGTGCTAACACTCTGAGTACTATTTCAAAAGAATCAGAAAAAAACTAATCTATCAACTATTTTGAACACAAATTATATTAAAATTGTACAAGTATGGTAAGACATGTTATTTGCTCACTTCTTCTAATCACAGTCAGGCAGGAGTTTAATTTCTGTTAAAAAAATATACAGACCTGATTAGCCAGTTGTAATAATGTGAATTTTTGTTTGCAAGATGGTTTGTTCCACAATGGATTGTGTTGCTGCACGGACGTTTTAGAGTGACACACAAGTAAGGATTGTTAGGCTGTATGTTGCTGTTGTACATGGCAGAGGACCAATCTGAGTCGCATGACTTGTTAATAAAACTTACTACCCTGTTGGGTAGGAAATAGATATTCTGGAGTCTGTCGTGAATGAGACCAGAATATAACACCCGTTATAAGCACCAGCACCTGAAGCAGGAACAATAATGCACAACACACACTTTCAGTTTTGTTTCTCTGACATTCCTGCATCACCCGAGGAAAATGAATGTGTGTGCTGTCACTGCTTTGAGTTGTTATGTAAAAGTTTTACACAGCCTGGATTCAAGGGAAAGAATCAGCATCACTGCAATAGTTCATAAACTTAAAACAGGTTGTGTTTAAAAAATGTTGCCTAGCTACACTCACCCTGTACACCACCTTTTTCAGATTGCAGTGTTTGCATAAGATGTTGTTCACCTGCATGCCCCTTCCTCCACTCTTACAGTGTCATGAAAATGTATTTGACCCCATCCTGATTTCTGATGGTTTTTAAAAATATTTTTCACACTTTACATGTTTCAGATCAAACAAATGTAATATTGATGGTAAATGGCCTGTATTTATATAGCGCTTTATTTTGTCCCTACGGACCCCAAAGCGCTTTACACATTCAGTCATCCACCCATTCACACACTGGTGATGCCAAGCTACATTGTAGCCATAGCCACCCTGGGGCGCACTGACAGAGGCGAGGCTGCCGGACACTGGCGCCACCGGGCCCTCTGACCAACACCAGTTGAGCTATTCAGAGGTGGATTGTGATCATTGTCCTGCTGCATAACCCGAATGAGCAGTTACAGCAAGTTGTCCAGATCCTGAAGCAGCCCCAGACCATCACACTGCCACCACTGTTGGAATCTTGGCAGTGACACCTTGTGGTGAAAGAGTTAATTACAGCCACATGACCGGCTGCCCTTTGACGTATGGCAACACAACAGCATAGAAAAGCCTGATTTTCCAGATACCTGCTGCATTTTAATGTTTGACTTTGTGCTGACTTTAGAATAACCACCATGTTTGACTGTTGGTTTCTTCTTATGAAATGCTGCTAATTTATGCCAGATGTGACAGGATGTAAACCTTCCAAAACATTTTGTCCCTTCAGTTCACACAGTATTTAAAAGTGGAATATTTGTGGAAATATTTCTTTATTTTATTTCTTTACTTGGGCAGCGGTGGCTACCACCACAGAATTCATTTTTCAAGCCATGTGCCAGCTACAGTTAGGTCCATAAATATTTGGACAGAGGCAATTTTTCTAATTTTGGTTCTGCACATTACGAGTATATTTTAAACGAAACAGCTTAGATGGAGTTGAAGTGCAGACTCTGAGCTTTAATTGAGGGGCCTGAACAAAACGATTACAAAAAAATGTGAATAAAGCATTTGGACAAATTGCATTGCTCAAAATAAAATGTTCATTTCTAATATTTGTTTGAAAACACTTTGCTGTAAATGACAGCCTGAAGTCTTGAACTCTTGGACATCACCTGGGTTTCCTCCTTTGTAATTCCCCTTCTTTGCTTTAATAAACTCCTCAGTTGTTTTGGCTATATGTTTTGGGTCATTCATCTATATTACAAAACACCACCCCATCAATTTGACTGCATTTAGCTGGATGTGAGCAGACAGTATGTCTGTTAACACCTCAGAATTCATTCGGGTGCTTCTGTCCTGTGTCACATCGTCAATAAACAGTAGTGTCCCAGTGCCACTGGTATCCATGCTCGCCCAAGGTATGCTTTGAATCATGAGCTGCTCCATGTTTTCTCCATACTTTTTTCTTCCCATCAGTGTGGTTGAGGTGGATCTTGGTTTCATCTGTCAAATGAACTGTGCTGACTTGCACCTTGTGGTGAGTCTTCTGTATTTACTTCCATGCAATCTTCCCTTTGTGGTAAACTTAAATATATCCATACATACCTCCTGGACAGTCTCGTTTACTCGGTTGGCTGTTGTGAAGGGGTTTCTTGTCACCGTGGAAATGATTCTTTGATCATCCGCCAACAGTGGATGAGCCGTGGACCTCCAAGTCTTTTTTTGCATTG